CATATTGGGGTAATGGAATATACTCATTTCAAACAGTATGAACTAGAATGTAATCTTACCATTTAGAGAAAATATTCAGTCTTTCACTATCAGATTTTGGATATTACTTATAAGATGACCTGATAACTGGTATTGTTACTGTTAGGCATTTTAGATTCTATCTTCTTAATTCCTGTTCTTTTATTGTTCTCTCTCTTTAATAGTGTCTTTTTTTTCCTCATATTCTCTCATGCTCAGTAGCCCCTTGCATCTTAGTGGCTTTATTGCCTTGTTTGAGGTAGAATGATTACAAACCAAACATAGCAAAAATGCTCAATCTATCATTATCAGATTTTGAACATATGTGGTGACTCGTTGCTATTAACTGTTAATGTTATGATTTAATCCCTTCTATCCATAAAATGCTTTAAACTACAGATTCATTCATTTTTAGACTATAAAACTAGATACTGAAAGCTAAACTGTGATCTTTTTTGCCTCTAAGAAATCTAATAAATTTACCCAGCATCCAAACACCCTGAGATGGCTGACTTAATGGATTACACAGATCAGTGGTCATATTAAAAACATTATTGTATTATAAACATTTGGTCATAGCGCTAATTGTAATATTAAATGTATAAATTGAGTCACAGTAGTAAAAATTTAAAAAAAAACTTCCTTATCAGTCATTGAATGCAGAAAGAGAAATTGAACAAGGAATGAGACTTTCTTATTTCCAATTCTCTGGATTGAACGAAGAAGGCATCTTGATTTCAAATCATCTGACCTCTGATCACTTCCAACAGTGTAGATTGTAGCCTGACCCCAACATAAACATCAAAGTACTGAACACTTGAATGACAAAGAACAGAACCTGAGCACAAATGTTAAAATAACTAAATATATATTCATATATTTATTCCCTGAACATCAGCCTCTGATGACATGTCTCTAAACAATTGATTTTACATGTTAATCAGGGCATGTAACTGATTATCAGAGATTCAATCTTTGATTATATCAGCTATGACATTCTTTGGTTTTAACATGTTACTGACAATAAGTTGTTACTCTTTTTGTTGATACCATGTAGCCTATTATCAGAGATATGGTTTTTATTGCATAAGCCATGGCTGTCTTTGGTCACTCAATGTTGTTGATTACCAGATATACAATCTTTGATCATATCAGTTATGACTCTTTTTTGATAATACCTTGTTGCCTAATATTGCAGTAACAATTTTTAATCACTGGATTGATAACCATCTTTGGTCATACCATATTAGGTGGTCAAAGATTGTTAATGCAATATTGTACAACATTTGATCACGCCATTCATGGCTATCTTTGTTGATATCTTGATGCCTATTATCAAAGATATGATTTTTGAGCACCTCAGTCATGAATCTCTTTAATTATACTATATTGTTAATTATATTATGAGTAGTTAAGCTATTTCAATCCTATTTGACCACAACTAAGAGAATATATTGGGTTATATATATATATTTAGAATTTACTTACTATAATCATTGCAATAAAAATGAATTCTGCTTTTGCTAAAAAACATGTTTTAGAATTCAAATTTGTTTGAATAATGTGTAATGCTGAATATATTTTGTCTTCAATTGCAGGATGTGTTGGAGTTTGTGGATCTTGGTTGCAACACTTTTCTCAGCAACATTTGCTTGGTGATTGCATCTTACAATGACATGTTCCTCAATCGACTCCAAGAAGAGTAAGCCTTTTCTTCCCCCCTCTCAACCACTACCACCATCACTCTCAGAAATACTAGGAAGCAATTTGCACATCTGCCTAACATGTGATTTTATGCCATAAAACAAATATATACCTAATAGGCCAAAAGTTTGGACCAATCCTCTAGATTTCAAAGAATCATCTAAATATTGAAGATTGCATGGATTTTTCAAAACTAATTTACTAGCTCACTTCAGACCAGAAGGAATTTCTCTTCCTAAATGGTTTTATCATATATTCAATAAGAATAATGACAAAATTAATCCATTACTCCATAAAGTTTCCTTAAAATTGTAGCTCTTTTTGCCTAATCTACAATACTTGAAGGGGTAGTAACACCTGCTAGGGTCCCAGGTATGGGCAAATAATGAAACCCCTAAACAAAGACAAAACTATGAAAGTATAAAAATACATTTTTCTCGTAAAATAATAAACTATATCTATTTATAGTAGAATTATCAACAATACATTTTATAGCAAATAACTAACAATACTTTTTATCTGTAGTTGGAGGCATGAAATTGCATTCCAAATATTTAGTTGATGCTATAAAATTGTGTTCAAAATATTTGGATTTCATTAAATAATCCATAAAGGTTGAAATGCCACTAACCAAAACCAACCTTACTGGTGAATGATAATCTTAAAACTGTCAGATTTAAAAATGTTTTTTTTTTGTTGCTGAAGACATTAAGTTTATAAGTCCCAGAAATTAAGGACACATGGCACAGTGGATAAAGGCGTTGGTTAGATCCAGTGACAGGATCCAAAGAGTTGTGAGTTCAATACCCGGCTAAGGCAGTGGAAAACTTGGAGAGGTGAATTAACAGGAGATAACTGATAACTGGCACGTGGAACTAGAACAGTCTACCCCAGTGAGTGAAATTAAGGGTTCAGTTCAACATTCCAACCACCTGAAGACCAATGTATACACCAGCCAAAATGTTGTGATAAATATGGTAACAAAGATGAGGACAATAGTCCGAATAATTTAAATAGTGTACCTCATCTCAGAAATATAGACAGATATTAAAATTTTTAGTAACCATCTCTCAAAAATTTGGATACCATTTCCTTATTTCAAATTCATTGAGTCGACCTTCTTGATTCCAAAATTTAATATGGGTTAAATAGTTTCACATCCTAGCTTAACAGGAGTTAATTAAATCAAAGAAGGTATGAAACTTACTAATTATTAAATCCTGAGGGTGGTCCCAAACTTTTGGCCTATAGTGTGTGTGTATAATTGGGAATAATTTATTTGTCTGTTGACTATACATAGACAAACCCTTTTATGTACAGCACTCAAGTTTATGAGACATATTTCTTGGATACTATGGAAGGTTTTAACATAACAACATTTTTTGTTCATCATGGGTTACTTTTCTTTTATGCTGAAATATTTTTATACTTACCATTTGTAACCATTTGGTGTAAGACTATAATTTCTCTTTTATTATTAATATCTGGACAATTTAAGTATTTGAAAAGGCAGTTTTACAGAATAATTTTCCTCCTCAAAATATAATCTACTTTTCATAGCATTTCTTCATTGGAAACTTTAGAGAAACAAATAAAATTTTGTTTTCTTGTTATTAAAAAGTTACCATACCTGATTGGGATTGCTAAAAATGAACCTTGATGCATTTGAATAATGACAGTAAAAGATATTTCCAAATTATCCATTTCATTTCTTTCTCTTTGCTATTAGAAGTATTGTAGAACTACTTTTCAGGATTGTATATATTGAGCAGTTAAATAACTTGATTGGTAGAGTCTTACCAACCCATTATTACAGTACTAAGGAATCATTTTACTGTCATAGCCAGCCTTTGTCAAAATCTTGACCTCTTACCTGACATAGATGACTATTTCATTTAGTTGTGAAATATTCTCACTATTTGGTCAGTGCAACATTTTTATCATTATGATAAGAAAGTATACTTAGTATGACTTAACCAATAAAGATGTTGTTTTAAAATATCATATTTAATTAATTTATAAAAACAAGTTCAAATATTAATTGGATCATTGCTCCCTTGTGTCGTCCTTTTGTTTAGGCTATAAATTGTTTTTTAATTCCTTTAATATCTTTAATAAGAAGAGTTTTTTCATCTTGCCAGACTCATTTCTTGTCTTTAAAGCTTATTTAGCTTATGGTCATATCAAATAATGGCATCCCAAATTTCCAGGAACCGGTTCTATAAAGGCAGGTAATCTTTAGGAACCAAATCTGCTTATTTTCTTTTCAATCTGAGGATGGAAATAAATCATTTTATAGTATCAAAAAGAATTAACCCATTAACTCATTTTGATAATTTAATAGAAAATATTTATCAATATATTTCCAGATTTAAATTCTATTCTGATCATATTCCTGTTCAGAAGTATGATGCTTTTTGATTAATGACACCAGTTGTGTTATAGTTTCAAAGCCACATTCAAACTGAATTGCTGCAGTCCCAAAGATCCAATGGAAAACCTATCAAATTTATGACTAGAAGATTTGCCACATTTTTAACTTCAACACTATTCCTTTTGTCATAATAAATTATGTTCATCACAGAAAATCCTCTTTCAGTCTCTGCAGAACTAACAGAAATGGTATTAATTATATTTTTAGCTCTTTGGATAGTTTTGGTTCCAACATGTTTATGGTAATTTCTCGTTATATTTTCAACATAATCATAGAAATCCTCAACTGAGTTCTCATTGCAAAATGCTTTACAAAAGTCTGATAACTCCTCTTCAACATCTTTCCAGGGAACTATAGCTTCTTCTATATTCCAAGAATCCAGCAACTGGTTCACTAAGCTTTTATAGTTTTAAGAATCGGTTTGCACAAACCAGTGCAATGCCACCACTGGCCATAACACATGGAAACACTGGTTCTCATATGATCAGTAAAGTTGAGCCTGGTCCATTACCTAGATGGGTGACCAGTTGGGAATACTAGGTGCCATACCTTGGATGTGTGCATGGTATGGCTTACAGCCATATCATGTCAAAACACCAATTCTCATACAATCACTGAAGTCAAGCAATGTTGAGCCTAGTCATTACCTAGATGGGTGACCAGTTGGGAATACCAGGTGCTGTAGCTTGAATGTGTGCATGGTATGGCTTACAGCCATATCATGTCAAAACATCAATTCTCATACAATCACTGAAGTCAAGCAATGTTGAGCCTGGTCATTACCTAGATGGGTGACCAGTTGGGAATACCAGGTACCATACTTAAATGTGTGCATGGTATGGCTTACAGCCATATCATGTCAAAACACCAATTCTCATACAATCACTGAAGTCAAGCAATGTTGAGTTTGGTCATTACCTAGATGGGTGACCAGTTGGGAATACCAGGTGCCGTAGCTTGAATGTGTGCATGGTATGGCTTACAGCCATATCATGTCAAAACACCAATTCTCATACAATCACTGAAGTCAAGCAATGTTGAGCCTGGTCATTACGTAGATGGGTGACCACTTAGGAATACCAGATACTATAAGCTTAGATGTACATGTTGTACGGCTTATGGCTATATCACTTAAAAACACTGGTTCTTATACAATAACCCAAGTTAAGCAACATCAAACCTGGTCAGTACTTAAAATGGTTGACTGCTTGTGAATACCAGTTCAGGTACTGTAAACTTGGATGTGTGGGTGGCATAATGGATAACAACTCAGAATTGGAAATCCGAGAGACAAGTTCCAATTCCAATTAAGTTCATTATATTTACTTACACAAAAATACTTTTAGAAATTCTATGAATGCATCTTTTCTTTCCCTAGCTATGGGTTAATTAGTTGAACATGTATCAGTAAATCATTATTACCCCACAAAAATTTTTACAATCTAAAACTATTTTCTGGCTTTAAATAACCTGCAAAAGGTTTATAAGCCATAAAAAATAAATCAGTTAACCAAAGCTTGTTTGCCTTGTTTCAATAAACAGTAGAGAACAAGGTAAGAAGAATCAATATTCTATTCATTGAAGAATCAATACATGTAGACAAATCAATATTCACAGGCAGTCTAAATTAATGTTTCAACTTCTGGACGAGAGAACAGATTTTTTTTTTCCAGAAATTTTTTTCTTCTGTCTCATCCACCTTATACACAGATTGATGCATGGATATTTTTCTAAGCTATATCTTTTTAGATTCCTTTATACAATATTTTCTTTAATATTCTTTAATAGTATTATTTCAAACTATTGTTCTTATCTTGGATGATATAGATGTTATTATATGTTTTGACCAAGTACCCCCTGATTACCATCTGTTTATTGATTGGCTGATATGGAATATTTGTTGATATTTGTTGATTATTCTGATATTCATTCCTGTTCATTCATATTGAATTGATGCATCATTATCTGGTTTAAGAATTAAACTCATGACAGTAACAAATATAACATGTATAGCCAACTCCTACATCTATAGATTTTCCAAGCGTAGCTTGGATGTGGCACAAGGCCAAAAGTAAGGGGCACCCAGTGAAGATCGAACTCACTACTCATTCGTAACCATGCCAAGGTACCAGCCAACTCCTACATCTAGTATGCCATCATAATGGTGTGTTTTTGGAGACTTTTATTTTCAATGTCAAATGTTTGATTATGAAATCCTTAATATCTCTTTATTGAATAGTTTTTGTTATTGTTTTGTGCAAAGACTGTTTTTTATCCCTTTTTTTTAACAGATTTTCAGTGGCAGGTTATATTTTAAAACACACACACATATATATGTGTGTGTGTGTGTGTGTGTGTATATATATATATATATATATATATATATATATATATATATATAGGTAGTAATCTGTTGATATAATCCAGGCAAGTTCTATTAACACAACATAGAATTTGAAATGTGTTAAAACTGACTCACAAAAAGAGCGTTCTGATATATGGACGAATTTAATACACCAATAATTTCTTAATTATCTCTCTTTCATCTTACTAAAGTTATCTCTTGATTGTTTTTTCACGTTTTCGTTAATTTCCGTGGATTCCTGTCGAATCAAACTTTGACCGTGTGATCCTTAGGATGTAAGTCGGCTCATTGGTTTCATCCTTCCCTCCCCCTACCCAGGCTCTCCTACCTCCATAATATAATTCCTGTAACAGTGCCTTCTTCTCTCCATATCTCCGACTAAGTCCCCTATAACACTCTCTCTTTCTCTTTCTTCAACTAACCAGTATCCCACTACAAACTGATACTATAAACAGTTTGAAAAATCCTGCGAATTTTAAAATGAAAATTCATAGGTGAAAATGGTCATTAACTAAAGGTATCTTAATTCCAATTGTAATATATATATATATATATATATATATATATATATATATATATATATAATATAATAATTTACCAAAAAACAGTTAAGCAGTGTATTTCTGGAAGATAATGATTTTCTAGGCAAGCAGTTTTTGTAATTATAGTGCTCAATTTTGAGCATTAATAATAATAATAATAAATTTTAATTATCTCTACTTGGAGATTCACAGACTCAGAAATCCACTCATCAGGAGACAAAAGTATAATTCATTTTAATCTATCATATTTTTCTTAAAAGATGCTAATTTACAACATAAAATCATTTGAATTTTGTTTTTAGGTGATTTCGCTTGAAAAGCAAAAATTTTATCCTCCCACTGCAAGTGATTCAGATGGATGAATAATAGTGTTTAATTTTACAGTTGTGTTGTCAGATCCTGCTATGACTGAAATTAAGTAGTGAAGTAGAGAAGCTCTGAAAAACAATGCAGTGGAAAGGAAAGTAGTGAATAATGTAGAGTGTTAACAGTTAAAAACATTTGTTTGTGACATAAGCTTCTTTGAATTTATTCAGAAGTTAAGTATTATTGTAACTTTTTTATTTGAGTTATATGTATAACAAAATATTTCCACTTTGGATTAGGGGTGTGTGAAAGATTTTCTAAATAAATTGGTAATCTAGTGAAGAGCTTTTGCAATGTGTTCTTCCGTTATTGGCCAAAGTCCAGGTATTTTCCCAAATTTTCTTTTCTTTTATTTCTACCTTGTGATCTACTGGCCCAGTAATATCTACAATCTGGAAGATGCTTTTTGTGGTTTATGTCTACCAGATCTATCTATACCTTTTTTCACTCTAGTGTAAACTTGACTTATATCTACCTATCTATTAATTCATTGAAATTTTTGTCCTATAAGACTTCACCTTTTTGACTCCAATATAAATTGGACATCAGTCTCCCATCTTGCCTATGTCTATCTATCTATTAATTCATTGCAATTTTTTCCCTATAAGACTTATATTTTACATTAAATGACCCAACAAGATTGTTATGATGATCAAACTTAATATCTGTATATATTCTATGTACACTGACTCAAAGTTGCCCGTGAGCTATAGTTATAGCTCTCTTTATGCTAATTACCTATTAGCTAAACCAATCCCATTACATCTCCCTGAATCTTTTGGGTTTCATGCCTTCTCCTGCATTCCCTCCCACTCTCACCGGTTTCACAAGTATGGGGTCCTTGATCTAGTTCTTTTATTCACAGTATCCCATGTTTTGTACTCTGAGTTTTCCGAAGAACTTTGATCATCCATTGATTTCTCTGCTTTATTTTCTTGTTTTCTACATAGTCATTGGAACTGGCTTCACTTTGTACTTTCTTGTAATTTTGCCTAGCTCTTAACTGGTCTGCATGGGCAACAATATCTTTTACCATTCTTACATATTAATACTGTTTTGTATCCTTTTTGTATTATGAAATTCACCTTTTCCAGCCTGTTTTCATTAATAGAATAAGACATGGTTAATGGAGCTCTAATCTGTCTCTCCATTACTGCAGACTGGCTCTCTAATCTGTCAGCATGTGGTATCATTCTGTAACTCAACTATAATCTTGGTAGGAAAGTTTCAATCTTTCCTTACTGAGAAGAAAATGCTTTCAATCCCATCTTTATTGTTTAGACCATTCATTCAGCAATCCCATTTGATTGAGGGTGGTAAGGAGGTGTTTTATATGGAACACAGCCAATCTAATCTTCCTTAACCACAAGCATAGACTTTCGTCACAGAATTTGGGAGCATTATCAGTTACTAATGTTTTTGGTATGCCATTTCTCGCAAATATTATGTGTAATATTTATTTTACAGTAACAGATTTTTTATCCTGAACTCAGAAAACTTCAGGCCAGGCAATAAAGGCATCAACTAGTATTAAACATAAACCTATCCCGTTAATTTATGTGTGATCCATATGAACTCTAGACCATGGTTCTGTTTTCTTAGGCCAAGAGTATAACTTATTTTAGTGAAAATTCTTTATTTCAGCACATTTAGGACATTTGTGTATGTAAATTCTCCTCATCTAAGGTGTGTCCCAGCCACCATATTTCCAGTTTTAACCGTTTTTCTGTAGCGGTTATCCCACAATGCACATCATCATGTACACTTTTAATTATCCCTTTTCTACATTTTTCTGGTGGTATAACTAAATTCCCACTACAAATTAGACAATTTTCTATTGATAGTTTGTGTCTGGTTTCTTTGTATCGTCTTTCTGCTTTTGAACAATTACTCCATTTATTGTTCTCTATTCTACATAAAATTCAACTTGAAAGTGATTTTTCTTTTTTCACTTATTAAATGTCTCTCCCCATGCAGGACATTTCTCTCTCTTTGATTCTTGTTTATAGTTGCAATATCTGTATTTTATCATTGTTCTTTTTATTACACGTGTCCATAAGCTCAGGTTGGTTTTCATTTATATAATTTTTTCAATTAACTTCTCTTGTTGCATGAAGTCAATACAAGCTTCTAAAGTCATTTGGTTTGTCTGTAACCGCTCTAAAATTTGTACTCTATAAGAGGTGTTATACAGTCCTTCTACCAATCAGAGTTGAATTAATTCTTCCTCTGTATTTATTCCTTGTTGTCCTAGTTCATGAAATTCACAATATCTTCTGGAATCTCTTAACCTTTTTAGATATTTCCTTATAGGCTCCCCAATTTTTGTCTCAATGCTAAGAATTTGGTTCGTTTGGCTATAACCAATCTTTTCTTTGGTTGAATATTTCTCAATATTATTTTTTTGACTTCCTTAAATGTCAAGTTTTCAATTTCAGCCTAGTAAGTCATTAACAAAATCTGCCTAATGTCTTTGCATCCCACAGTGGCCAAAAACAGATCCATGATTTCTTCTGTCCTTCAGGTGTTTGGTCATCTCATAACTTCTTTATCCTGTCATGTACCTCAAAGCATTTTATCCAAATCTTTACATTTTCAGGTTCTTCTGTGTTCAACAGAGCTCCATCATGCAACACCATTTTGTTATGATGATCAAACTTAGTAGCCATTGATATTCTATGTACACTGACTCAAAGTCACCCGTGAGCTATAGTTATAGCTCTCTTTATGCTAATTACCTATTAGCTAAACCAATCCCATTATATTAATATTATTAACTTGATCAAACAAAACTCCTTTTCTTTTCAAAATGTTGCTTAATTTCATTTTTATTATTTTTGTTTTGCTTTCAGTGAAAATTTGGATGCAATTGCTTTGAAAAAATTGGTAAATTTTGTGAATTCCTTGATGGAGAGATATTTTGCTTATGTGCATCAAAGGGTGTTACTTGAGGTTAGTCTACAATGTCTTTTTTCTCTATTATTGAAATTGCTTCTTTGAGAATATACAACAAAAATATTACATACTATTTATTTATTAGATTATTTACAAAAATAATTTTATATTTACAACATTCTTAAAATGCAAACCAACTAATACAATGCAATGTTTATCATTTATCAGTTTATAAAGAAATATGAAAATCATTTTTTTTAATTTTTGAATAAAAAGATTTCTCTTTACATTTATTTCTTTATAAAATGGTAAATGTATGAATTTCCCCAACTGAATTCACTAAGACACTCTTCTATTTACACTGTTGATGTATGAATTTCTCTCAATTAATTTACTGAGATTCTCTTTTTTTTTACTCACTTACTTTGATTTTTCCAGAAAGAAACAGGTGACAACACAATTCTAGTACGAGCATTGGACCGTTTCCATCGTCGTTTGCAGGCCATGAACAAACTGTTACCAGATACAGATTTCTCTCGGTGTGTGTTGGCTTTGTTGATTTTTTTCAAAATCTATTCCTTGTTCTTCTGTTTCATTGTCTTTGATTTTCTATATTTTTCATTGACAGGAAATTAATTGATATTTAAAAGTTTTATCTATATTAAATACAAAAGCTTCAAATCCACCATGAATCAAGCATTTTATTCAATTTGTATTTCTTAAAAGCCATGACTGAATCATTTCTAGATCATTGTTTAGCATTCCACATGGAGATCACTTGCAGGAAATCTATAAAATATTTCAGTTGAAAAAAAAAATAATTCCCCAATTATAAGTATACATTTCAAATTTCTCATGCTATCTGGAATCTGAATTATAATTCAGAGATATTCATATGTACTTTTTATTTTATATTATGAGGAGGTTTTCCTCATTAACACATGAACAATATAATGTTGCTGTTGTTTAATATTAGTAGGAACAGCTCTGACAAAAACATTTCATTTCATTGGCAGTGTGCAATTCAAAATAATTGCTGTTTATAGCATATCACAGTGCAATATGGGTTACTTGGGATTGCCTATCTTCTTACCAACATGTGACAGGTTGTATTGGGTTAAATGGTATCAGCATCCAGAAACAAATCCAAACCTGGCCTAGTAATTATCAAATGCCCAAGTTGATACACTTTCACAAGGTTAAAAAGCTCTAATTGCCTTGCTACTTACCCATAATTGAGAAAGAAGTGGGTTTATGCCTTTCCCAAGGGTATAAGTGTGAAATGAATACAAACTGTTCCAGCCAGAGTTTGAATTTAGTTTGCTAATTCCTTCTTCCATGACATTAAGCTCCCTGCATTGCCACTTTTGACAGAGGCAAATTTATAAAATAATAATGGTAAATTTAAAAGCCTAATTTTATTGACATTATTAATACCCACCATCCCATTTTGGTGGGGGACAGTTGGCATTAAGTGGTTATAGGGGGTATTTTTTTTATAAATCTATTATACCAAATTTTTATTAAGGCAATAAAGACAGACATTAAAACAAGAAAAATTTTAACAAAAAGACACATAACAAAAACTAATACTACCATAAAGTGGTAATATCATTTTTTTTTTACATAATTGTATTTTGATATTACCACTTTACAGTAATATTTTTTGTTATTAATATTTTTATTGTTTTAACATATCCATTTTTATTGCTTTTATAAAGCTTGATTATTTATTTTCTAGTTTTTCTCTCTTTTTGGTCTGTAAAATAATAATTTGGTTCAATTTCATTTTCTTGTTTTCCTGATCCTCCTCTTTCAAAGTCTTTGCATGGCCAAATGTTGTATTGTTATTTTCTAAGCTGATTTATCACTGATTCCCATATGATCACTGAAGTTAAGCAACATCATGAGCACCTGGGAGTACCAGGTGCTGTAAGCTTGGATGTGAGGGTGGTAATGAATAATGGCTCAGAATTGTTAATTGGAGAGCCGAGGTCCAATTCCTGTTGAAGAAATTTTGGGAAATAATGATATAGTAATAGAATCTTACTAATTAACCCATAGATGTGGGGAGAAGTGGTGGATTCATACATTCACATTCGCCCTTGCATGCTGCCATATATGATCTGGTGCCCCTTTTATTTGTCTCAAGGTTCTTGATAAGATCCAGAGATGGATATGCAATGTAATTGGCCCTGATCTGGCATCTCGTCTGCACTCACTCTCTCATAGACGTGTCATCGCCTCCCTCTGTCTTTTTTACAAATACTTTCATGGTAACTGTTCCAATGAGCTGCTTTCACTGGTTCCCAGACTTCATGAATTTAAGCGTTCAACTAGGCTGGCATCTCGCTCGCACACATTCACTGTCGAAACTGTTAAATGTAACCGTCTTTTCTACTCCAATAGCTTCATGTCTCACACCTCTCGCCTGTGGAACTCCCTCCCCTTTTCCTGTTTCCCTGATAGCTATAATCTCCAACTATTCAAATGTAATGTCAATTGACATCTCCAGAAGCCTTGATCTATCCACTATCCTTCTTTTCATCCTTTCCTTTATCACTCCTATTTGGTCACACTCCAATTCTCTGTAACCCCTTGCATGCTAGTGGCTTCCCACCTTGCTTGGGGTGAAACGCTTAAAAAAAAAAAATATTTCTTATATATATAAGTGAATATAACAAACCCTACTGAAATTAGAACTTGGCTCTCCAATTAAGAATTCCAAGCCATTATCCATTACATCACCTGCACATCCAAGCTCATAGCACCTGATATTCCCAAACAGTCATCCATCTAGGTACTGACCAGGCTCAATGTTGCTTAACTTCAGTGATCATACAGGAATGATCTATATGAACTACTATAGGGAATTTGATTTTCACAGGGTGCCTCATACTCATAGCCTTGTGGCAGACTAAGCTAAGCATGGTAAACACCTGTAGCAAACATTATCATTGTCCACTGACCAATTTGAAAATCAGAATTGGTATAATTTCAATTAAAATTTATGATAATCTTGATTAAAAAAAACTGATCTCAATTTGAAAGACATTATATTTTTTCTTTTAAATATTGCATGTTTAAAAAAATCTTTTTCCAAGTTCACAAATACATTCCTACATGAAATTTATCTTTCTTTTTTCAAATCAAGTTCAAGATTTCTTGATTCTCAAGTCTTTTTAATATCTCTATAAATTATGAAGCTAAAACAATGTACTGTTTTTGTATGCGTCCTTGTGAGTGATGAATTATTTTCAACCTTTAACCCCTTTTCCACAAACAAAACATCTCTCTTTCTATTTCCATGGAAAATGTTTAGACGGGCTATATACCTTAGTTTCACTAGTTCAGACCTTCACAGACAGGACCCACTATGTCACTAACTCATTCGCATTCTCTTTGTATTCCACTGGTAAGGAGGAAATATCACTCAGACAGCTTTTCCCCAACTATTACTTTGTAGGGCAGACTCCTGAGAGAATGCTTCCTGATCACAACAATCTTAAGCTCTTCAAGTTTAGGGTCTACTTTTATCTACTCTACATATCCTGGCTTATGGCCATATCACATTAAAACACCAGTTCTCATATGATCACTGAAGTTAAGTAACTTCAAGCCCGGTCAGTACCTAGATGGGTGACTGCTTGGGAATATCAGGTGCTGTAAGCTTAGATGTGCAGGTGGTGTAATGAATAACAACTTGAGATTGGAAATTGGAGGGCCAAGTTCCAATTCCAGTCAGGTTTGTTATATTTACTTATATACAAATTTATCATTGGGTAAGGCATGAATCCACCTCTTCTCCCCTCAATGTATAAATAGTGTGACCTCTATCAACAAAATCATTATTATTGCCAAAAAATTCTTATAATCCCAAAATATTTTCTGACTTTAAATAAACTTCAAAAGATTCATAAAACACAAATCACTTATGCACCCAACATATCCCCATAAGATGCACTTCTTACTTCCTCTCTTTATACTTTTACATCAACCTGATTCAGCAGCCTGGAGAAAAGAGTTCCAATTTCCATTGGGTTCATTATATTCACTTACACACTTGGGAACAATAGGAATCCACCTTTTCTCCTCCTCACCTATGGGTTAATTAATAAGACTTGTATCACTAAACCATTATTATCTCCAAAAAAATTCTTACAGTCTAAATATATTTTATGGCCTTAAATAACCTGCATAGAGTTGATAAGCCATAGAAAACAAATCAATCAATCATTCAGTAACCCAGGTAGACTTAAGTGACTCTTGAGCCTTGTATTGGGTGAACAATAGTATATACAAAAAATAAAACATTATTCTTGTATAATACAAGTACTGAATCTTGAAGTGAAACCTGTATTAGATTCTAGTGTCTTGTTTAACACAGGTAGTCAATTTGGCACATTTTGGGAGTGCTGTGTGTTTTTTCTGTCTTCATCTCCTACATTCGTGTACAGCAACCCTAAAGTTATGCAATAAGTAACCACTATCTTTATGTTTTTTTACTATATACCATGGTAATTATTTTAAATTTCATCAAATAACATTATATTATTTATATTCAAGTATAACATGCCCTCTTTACCCCAATTTTCCTGTTTATGTGTGGCATCCGTCAGTCTCAAGAAACCTGTCCCTGGAGAGTCTTGATTCAGCTGGTGGTGGTAGCAGCATAGCATTTGTACAGATGCACATGGGAAGGACAGAAGCTGCAACAACTGCACTTGAAGACATTCTCCTCTAGTGTTGCCAGCTTTTTTGTCAAGGGAATTTTTACTCAGCAGTAATCCTGTCTCACCTCACCCCGTTCAGTGTACTTCCCATCCCTGCAAGAGTGATCATTTACAATATCCTCCCTTCTCTTGATATGCTTGAATTGAAAATCCTTATACTCTTTTTCTCTTAATCAATTCACCCCAAGCAAGAAGATGATGTCACTAAGACACACAGGGCTACTGGTAGTGAAAGAGAATGAAAAGATTTTAAAAGGTATGAGAAACCCAATTCTAAACAGGAAACAAAGGATAAACCTCTTCTCCTATTATAAAGGCTGAGAATGAGCGTGAACTGGACAATAGACAAACCTATCTACTCCTATTGCTAATGGCTAGTTCCTTGTACAGTAGGTTTTTTGGAACCCCTGTTTAACCCTGCCAACACTGCTGGAGTAGGGTGAAGATTGATTGATTGCTTATTTGCTTTACCAGCATTTCAACCCCTGTGGGTCATTTAATACTGAAACTGGATTTTTATTCAGGAATGTTTCAAAATGTTTCAAGTGGTTGTGAAGTTTATAAAGTGTTTCCAAAACATTACAAGTTATATAGTTCAAAATATCTTAAGCTGTATAGTTCAGAAGTATTTCAAAACATAAGTTGTATGGTTTAAAACCCAAGCACTATTTTCTATATAAGTTGTAAGTATTTTATTTTCTTCAGAAACCTATTATTTGGGCAGGAGGTACATTTTTTGAAGAGCATGTTAAAATTTTGTGCTTGTTAATAGTTGCTCCATATTTTTTTGTGCTTTTTATATTCCATCAAGATATGTTTGATGTGAGAAATTGATTGCAGTAGGTACACCAAGGTGTAGTTCCTGCCTTGAGCATATGTGTGTGTGTGTGATGTGCGCATTCTGTTGAGCACTATGTCTTGTCTGCAATCAACTCTATATTTTCCTTTATTATTGTCAGCTGATGTTTATATAATTTGTTTGAGAACATGTCCCAAATTGCTTGCCATTTACTTTAGATGTGTTGTGTATTATTGTTTTTATAATCTGTATATGGTAGTTTGATGTTGGTTATTTTCATTGCCTCTCTTGCCTGTATGTCAGCTCCATGATTTCCCTTGATGCCTATATGGCTAGAAATCCAGGACAATATTATTGGTTTATGGTTTATTAAATGATGACAAGTTTCTAGGATTTCTTTAATAAAGGGATGGTATGTGTTCTTTAATTGCTGTTAAACTAGATAAGGAGTCTGAGGATATTATAAATTTCCTATCTTTTGAATTTTCTATCTACAAGTCATAGAAATGACTTAATCATTTCTATGGCTTGTAGTTCAGCTGTATAGATGGATGCATTGTTTGGTAGCCTGATTTGCTTGTGTGTGGTTGCTGCACCTATTCTATCGAGGATTTTTTTTTATATCCATCTGTGTAGAATGATGTATAATCATGATATTAGTCTATTAATTCTCCATATATGCTTTTGTTGATTGTATCTTTTCTCTGTCAATGTTAGGTCTATGTGAGATTTGGAGATTGCCCATAGAGCTACCTTATTTATTGTGACTGGTGTTACATTATCAAGATCTTTATTTGTTCTGGTGCTTCTTTGATTTGAATTCCAAATGAAGGGATGGCTGTTAGTTATTTCTACAGAACTGGATATATTGAGGTTATTTAGTGCATATTGGAGGGATAATTTTTTCCCATCTCAGGGATATAGGTGATTCATTGGCTTCTATAAAGAGACTGGGTAAGGTCCAGAAGGCTCCAAGACTTAATCTCAGGCTTTGATTTTATATGGTTTGTAGTTTTTTTTAAGATAGGATTTATGTATGGCACTGTAAATAATGCATCCATAGTCTAGTTTTGATCTGATGTGTGACTTATATATTCTGAGCATTACTTTTCGGTTGGCATTCAGTTTTGATATTACTTTTAGAAGCTTCAAAGCCTGTTGGCATTTTTACTTAAGGTAATCAATGTGCACTTTGAAGTTAAGTTTGCTATTTAGTATGATTCCTAGATATTTTGTTTGTTGGACTATGAGAATTATGTGTCCATTTAATTTTAATTCTGGATCAAGGTGGTATGTTTGTTTTTTGAAGAACTGGAAACCATTTTCATTTGTCCATTTTTCTATCTTGTTTAAATATATTTGTATATATCTTTCAAGGGAAGTCATGTTTGGCAATGAGTGAGAGATCATCTATATATAGAGAGTTTTCAATTCCTGTGTTAATGGTTTTAATAATACTATTTATTTTGAGAATAAATAATGTAACTGATAAAATGCTACCTTGAGGTACTCCTGCTTGTGTGTCTATTTCATACTTTGAATGTTCAGTTTGATAGGAAGTTTTGGATGAATATAGCCATTCTTCCTTTTATTCCCATCTTGTGCATGCCTTTTAGGATACCAATGCTTCCATATAGTGTCATAGGCTTTTTCAAGATTAAAGAATATTGATACCACATGAAGATCTCAAACAAAGCTGTCACAAATAAAGGATTCTGGCTGTACAAGTCGATCATCAGTTCATTGGTTTTTCTAGATAAGAGATTGTTTCTCTCCAAGTACCTTATTAGTCGAGCATATACCCTTCTCTCCATTGTCTTGTAAATGCAACTTGTTAGTTCAATAGGTTGGTAATTTGCTGGGTTGGAATGTTTTTTGTCAGGTTTAGGAATTGCAGTGACGATAGACTCAAGCCATAATTTTGGAAATTTGCTTGAACACCATATAACATTGAAGAAGAAGTATTAAAAGAGAAATTTCTGGCAGCTTTTTTTTAAAATTGATAATGGATTTCATCTGGACCAGTTGCAGAGGTTTTACTTTTGTTTATAGATTCTTTAAGTTCTATCACAGTAAAGAGAATATTGTATTCTTTATTGTTTGAAGTGAATATAAGTTTTTTTTGTTCGATAATGTTTTTATATTTTTGAAATTTGGGAGTGTAGTGATTTGTTGAGGAGTAGGGTGAAGTTAATGGGTATCTGAGGACTTCAGTGTTAGTAACTTGGTTGGTCTACTCGATGCCAAGAGCATGTCTCAGGCTGTGAGTGTGGAAGAAGATTAGACTATTAGGAACAAATATTTGACTTTACTTAAAAAAAAAAAAAAAAAAAATTGATGGACATGTATTTCTATTTCTTCAAGCTCTTGTTATAGTTTGAAAGTCAGTCAGTTATGTGCCATGCATGATACACACTTAGGCGATCATGTATCTTTCAATATATGACTGACAAGGAAGATCTTTCCCCCAGAGGAGGCTGACCATTTCTTTCTGCAATTGGATCCAAGGCTATAGAACCTAGCCTGTCCTGCTATTTACCCATAGCTGGGAGGAGAAGAAGAGGATTCATACCTTTCCTAAGGGTGTTAGCATGTAAGTGAATGTAATGGATTAGGCTGGAATTCAAACTCAGCTCTCCGATTCTTCAATCAGAGCCACTATCCATTACTCCACCGTGCCTTTGTTTGAAAGACTTGTTTTTTTTTAATCATTTCCCAAGCCCCCTCCTCCCATTTATTATATTTTCTCATTTATCAGCCCCCATTCTAATTATTATAACCCCTATGTTTATTATATTTTCACACCCCATTTTTATTTGACACTCAAGAGTTTACTCTTCACTAGATGTCCCATATGAGTGGCCTTCTGCACAATGAAAAAGTTTATCTCAAAATGTGGTTTGCAGACCATTAAAACTGGGTGCTTCAAATTGATGGCCTTCTGTCAGATTAAGCAGAGCTGAGTAAATACCAATTTTTTATCCTTTCATGCACAGATGCAATAAAAAAAAATTCTTTAATTATTTTAACTATTTTGTGTATATTGTAGTGCTGGGACAGAAATTGTTTCTAAAGCTGCCAGGGAACGAGTTGCTTATTACTTACAAATGTTAAAACAACATTTTTCAGGTAAGTCCC